CCCCCCCCCCCCCCCCCCCATGAAAGACTCGAGTGTAAGCCACCGATGGTAAGTACTTACTTACACGCCGGCGTGAATGAGATAAGCCTTATAAATTGATTGGAAGAAAGTTGTTAGAGCGTTGCATAGTCACTATTAGATTATGTTAATCCGTTATTCTATTAATAAAGCTTATTTGTGTTTTATTAAGTATCGCGATATTATTCCAGGCGATCCCTTGCCTCTACAACCGATGTGTATATCGCTGAATAAAAATTGGGATCGATTAGTTCTCAACAATTCAGGTACTCGAGTATTCGGTTCTATCCCGGAATACAGACTATTAATAATACCTCTATTTAACAAGGAAAATTTAATTAAATATCGTTTATAAATACCATCGAGGGTGTGCGTCCAAGCTGGTAATCGCGACATTCGTATTTTGGAAAATAAATCTGCACGTTAATGTTGGAATTTTTACTAATGCAACTGCTCCGCTAGTACAACCTAACAAAAAATATAAAAACATTAGAGGTGAAAAATTGTGTATTAATTTTACTATCAATTTGCAAAAGAATAATCAGAATTTAATATGCTATATTAATGTTCCGAACGAGGAACTTATAACTTCGAGGCGAAGATATATTTAAATATAATCATAATAAGCTTTGCACGAATGATCGCATTTTTTATTGGTTGAAGTTTCACGAAGTTAAATTTTGTTCTGAGTCAACGTTACGACAGCAATCGATATTCAAAAATCGATCGTTCGACAACGGTACAGAGGAATTACTGGACACCGGATTATTTCATTATTAGAGATTTTTTAATTTTTATAATTAATTTGATATAGATAAGTTTCTGCAATTCTGATTTATGCGAATCTAAATTTTGATAAAGCGAGTTCAAAAGTACAAGAAATATAGACAGATGAAGATGATTATTTTCTTATCATCAGAGAGATGTAGTAAATACTGTATAATTTCAGTGCGTTTTATATAATGCATTATTACGATAATAGAAGAACTTTGCAAATGGAGATAAACTGATAAATAGTATTATGCAAAGTATTCTAGATTTTTTTAGAGATTCATGCTAGTGATTTCCATTAATTTCTGAAGACAAAAATTATATAACAAGAAGTGTCAATATTACACGACCTCCTTCTAAGGTATTGTAAAGACATAAACAAACTTTATATGTCATCAAAATACGAATTACTTTTCTTTAACTATGTACTATTAAGCATCTAAAAATTAAAAAATAAATATTTTCTATGTAATATGTTAATATAATAACACTTACTGACAATGAAATTTTTGACATAAAACGGAGCATTTTCAATAGTGGCATCGGTAGGCACGTGAAGTTTTTCTTTGAACGATTTCTGTTTCTTACCATAATCCTTGATGGTTTTTTCTAAATGTATAGTTGTCATTAATGAAACCTCGCTACAATACTTCATCGATTCTATCTTTTCTATATATTTCATTTTTTCGACGCAAGTGTCTTCTAACTTGGTTTCCGGATATTCTTCAATTTCTCCTTCGTATTCCAAATCATCTTCTTCATCGGTGTCAACTGTAAAATGACACATTAATAGACTCACCTAATGTTTCTTTATACTAACTACATTACCTACAGTCTAGATGTTAGAGAAAAGGAAGGGCAGAGCTGAAAGAAGAGTATGGCAATGAGAAGAGGAAGAGATAGAAGAGATAAAGAGATAACATACCTATCATACACAATCTAAAAGAATGGTGGAGTAGGAAGACATACGGGAGAAAGGAAAGGAAGATCGATGATAATTATGCAGAAAACGTGAAGTATAGGAGAGAGAATATTTGGGAGAGATCACAAGAGGATGAAAATGTTTGGGTCATTAGTAGAATTCATAGGGCTATTCGGAGTAGAAGTATGGGAATGGAGAAGAGGGAAAAGACTTCACAAAATAGAAAGAAAATATGCGAAATGGATACTGGGAATGGACAAAACAGCACCGAACTATATTATTGGAATTTGGAAGTTGCAGACTAATACCGACCTTTGGAAATCAAGGGGTGGGTTTTTGGGGTTTAAAAGGGCCTTCTGTCCTTCGCTGCACTCACTCTCGAGTCAGGAACAGTACAGACACCTTATATATTGTGACCCACAGTGGCATTAAAAAGACTCTCGTGTTTTATTTGTATATTGCATAAACTGTATAAATTTCACTTATATTAAACATTTATAAATACAATTACTGTATAACTGAATACGGTTACTTCTCTGCACGCTAATCATTTGGATTTCCTTCACGAAATTCCCAACATATATAATTAAAGAGAACACCAAGATGAGAGGAATGAGATGGAGAGCGACGAGTAGGACGATAAGATATGAGAAAGCGGGAGGGTCCAAAAAAGAACTGATAAAGGAATGCATAGAGGAAAGGGGAAGAGAGTGGAGGACGAGAAGGAAGATGGGTAAGGCAAAGAGAGAGAACACTAGAAGAAGGAGGATTAGGAAAAGAAGAGATGGATGGGATGGGAAGGAAACAAAGAAGCATAGAAGAAAAGGTGATAACGAATAGGAAAGAAAGGGAGAAGGAATCAAAGTATTGGGGTGTCCCATAAATTTCTTTCCCATCATTTCTCAATGACTTCAACTGGCAATTCTGTCAATACTGCCAAATACTGCCAAATACTGCATGTATTGGGGTGTCCCATAAATTTCTTTCCCATCATTTCTCAATGACTTCAACTGGCAATTCTGTTAATACTGCCAAATACTGCAAAAATGTGATAAAATGAAAGTCGCCATAGCAGAAAAACGACCAGAATTGGCGAACTGATGAGACATTGTTTGTTATCGTGACAATGCAAACCCGCGTGTTACATTAACTGTAAGAGAAAAGCTTTACAGTTTGGTTGGGACATTCTACCGCAACCTCTGTACTCCCCACATCTTGCTCCATTCGACTATTACTTGTCCCTGTCATTAACAAATTCTCTCCGTGACAAACGGTTCCTGTTGCGTCCCGAACACTGCAACTCGCTCGGGGAGTTTCGCGGGGTTGTAAGGCCCGTTTACGCTGCTGCGACAATGTTGCTGGGATGCGGCCTACTCTAACTTGATAAAGCTAGGCCTGGTTATTGTTGAACTGCAGAGAGTTCTATTGTAGACAGTCTTCTGCGCTGAGTTGTTGGTGCGTCTCGATAATGACAGAATGGTCGTCTTGGAGTTTTTTGGAAGAATCTGACGTGACTGCTCTGTCAGTGGTTTTATAAGTTTCGTCTATTTTACTGATTGGTCAGTGCAATGTAAGGAGTGGGTGTGTGTCGTTCTATTGGTTGTGAATAATATTAGGGGTGTGTGCTATTTTCGACGTCCTACTGTGGTGGTGGAAGTTTAAATAATTTGGGTCCTTGTGCCTATCTTAAGGGTGATATATTGGTCCTTCTTGCGGTTTACCCAGGTGATGACGAGGTGATGAAGAGTCTATAGAAGTCAAGGGACGCTGGCAGTAAGGACATAAACCAGTCCTCCACTTGACCTGGGACATTGCGGTCCTAGGGCTGCAACAGTTCCAATCTTTAAACGAAATAGAAATACACCTCTAGGAATATTTTGCAAATAAGCCACAGCAATTTTGGAAAGAGGGAATAATGAGACTTCTGAGAGATGGAAGAAGGTGATAGAACAAAATATATAACGCAATAAATCAAGCTTAAACAACAAATATCGCGTATTCATTTCGTATCAAAAAAAGGAAGGAAACTTATGGGATACCTTAATATAATTGGGAATACAAAATACTGATAATAGAAGGGAAGCCAAAATATTTAGAGAAAGGATGAAAAACAAAGAGAGAAGGCTAATTTCAAGATAAAGGTGCGGAAATGATATGAAAGTGAAAGAATATTGGAAGTGTGCAGAAGAAAGAGAATGCAAACTATATGGAGAAGATGAGGAAAGTATATGGCAAGTGATAAAAGAATGCGTCTGGACAAGGGGAGAAGAAGGGTTGGAAAAGTCACTAGAAGTCACACAAAAGTCACTAGGAGAATAATGAGAAGGGCAAATAAAGAAAGGAAAGAAAATAAAAAGGTTGGGGCAAATGGCGATTGGAAAGAGATAGGGGGGAAAGTGCAATGTGAGAGGAAGGGGAAGGGGAGAGGCAAGAAAATGGAGAACACAATCGAAACCAAAGAAGAAGAGAACCATGGCGGAAAGAGGGGAGAAGAGTAGAAGAAATAATAGATAAAATAGAAAATAGGAAAGAGATAAATATGACTAGATTAGGTTAAATTAGGTTAAGGTATAGTGGATAATTTATAAGGTGACGGTTTAAAAACCACAACTAAGAAGAAAAGGTGAAAACGTGAGAAGCAGGTATGAAAAACTGGAAGCTCGTCCTAAGCCGAAGGCAAGAACTATGATCGATAACGTTACCTACGGTCTAAAAGTATTTAGATTAATTTGTCGTTGGAGTAATTCCTTACCGATTTGAATAACTTTGAAATATATCGTAAAGGAGAATATTTTGAACCTATTTTAGTATTCGAAGTAATAACCGTCGACAAAATGGTAATCGTTTAGAAAGTGGTCCACTTCGCCAATTTGAATGTCTAAGTTTCGCAAGATCTGGCTAGAGTTTAATCTAGACCGTGATCTAGAATTTGATCTAGAGTTTGTATCCTCGAACAATTTAAGATCGAGATCAGATGGAAACTATTCGAGTACTTTTTACTTTTTCTCATAATATTTTTTTCTTATCGCCCTGTTAACAACTTTCATATTAAGAGGTTGGTACCATTGCGTGAGGATGAAAGAACTTTAGGATCTATGTTACTTATACATTTTTTAAGGTGCCAAAGTCTTGAACCCTTTTTCTTGAACACCCTGTATATTGTATAGCCATGATGCACAAAATGTTACCTTTCGCAATATATTTCGAGATCATTAAAATCGGTGAAGAACCAATTCATCGATAAATTCACCAACCTTTTTAATTTTGATTTCTTAAATATCAAATATTAAATGAATGTTATAAAATAGTATTAAGTAACAAGTATAAAATATCTAAAGATTTGGGTAATTTTTCTTCAATTTTGATAATGTAATATCGTATTCTTACGTTTACGAAAATATTTTGTAATAATAATAAATGTGAAACTTACTTTCGGACTCACTGACTGTAGCCACGGGACCTAATAACGCAGATTCGAGATCGAAACTTATTGACCGAATAGAATCTAAAAGTTCGTGTTTACACCAATAAAGTATCTTTAAATTGCAGTCATAAAAACTAATCCGTCCCTCTGCAGTCCCCGTCAATATCATTCTATAATTACATCAACGTCTTGTTAAAATTTATATATATTTGTAATATTTAAATTGTAACAATTGATAAAAAATTATACGTTCCTCTTACAACTAATACTTAATTTTGTTATTTACATATTACAGACTAACCTATCAACCCTCTTCTGACATATTCGTAGAAAATTGCCATAAATTAATATAATGTAAAATATAAGGTACGTAAACTAGTTTAACAATTTAGATTATGATATTGAAATACTATTGAAGAAAAAAGTATGTTGGATAAAAATAAAGAAAAATATTGACAAAAAGTCATAGATTGATATGCAAATATTTTGTAACACTAAAAATATGTTTATAAGTGTTAAATACCTATCGTGATGTAATACCACCATAATATTGCTTTTCGTTAACTGTACAGATTTAATGTGTCTTTTTTCCTTGTTGTTAATTGCATCCTGACTATTAGTCTTATTCGGTTTGTATCCTTTCTTAGCAGGAACATCCCATACCAAAACATATCCTATGTAAAAATATCGAATAATTAAATTTTCATAATAAAATTCAGCTCTGTCGTTATAGTATTCGTATACTATACGGAGTGTTCCTTTTGTTTTTCAGATTATGTCAGTATGTTTTACGAGTGAAAGTAAGAAAAATAAATTAATGCATAAAGACTTATGAAATGTTACATAAACGTAATCCTTGTTAAGAGGTTATGACAAAGCTATATTGGGTTGACCAAAAAGTAATATTGGTATTTTTACTATAAAATAGCAAACGTTTTCTTTAAAATATAACAAATTGTATTAAATCGTGATCCAACACTGTTTACCAAATTAACAAGTGATCATAATTAATAAGTTACAGATTATTCAGTTATAATAACTAGGTTAATAATCAATGATTTAGGTTAGAAACATTGCTTTGTAACAAAAAGACATAAAAGTACCATAAACAGCAAAAGCTAACAGTACTTATTAATTAATTCAGTAAAATAGCAGTACAGTGTAATAATAAATAAATTAAATAAATATTACCCACAAAGATGTATATATGACAATTTTGTAAAATAATAGTTATATTACAAAATAAGATTCTTTTGCAACCTAATTGTTCCTTAACTTAATTTTTCAATATATTCTTAGCAATAATTTATTATGCATCAACAAATTTAAATTGCATTACGAATAGAATGTAAGAATAAAAATAAGATTGCAGATAAAGAATTAAGCAAAAATATGGTAGGTTTAATAGGTACGTATAAACAATACCATTTGTTGTTGCTGTTAATACTCTCTGCGTTCTCGATATGTAACAAGAACAAGTAAAGATTCCATATCGTCGTATGTTGCCCAATATTTTTGGTATGTGATATTTTAATTCATCTTCTTCCTAATTGATAAAACTTATTATTTATAACACTATTTTCTTACTATCTTCTTACAATAAAAATTTATCAAATAAAGAAAAAAATATATATATATATATCCTTGTATATAAATTTGTATTACTTTATATTATGCTTTAAACAAATTATATTATTTCATGTTTTTCTATTGAATTTTCTCACGAATATTTTGATCACAAGTATAGTAATAAATAATTATGTTATATACGATCTAGGATCATACTGGATTATTTATGATGAAATCATGAATCATTATGCAACATAAAAAGTGACAATATAGGATAAATAAAGTTCATGAAGTTAAAGGTATCAATTTCAATCAATTTAATAAAGTAGATTTAATTCGGCATTATATATAGTATATTTATAGAAGATTTTGCAACAATATCTGGTATTAGTGAATATTTTCACCTTTCTACGTTGGTTGAAGAACGTTGAAATATGTTATACTAACCCATTTAAAAAATGCAACATTGTAATCAGCAGTCAAAATAAATTCTTCAGAAATATCGTCATTGAAAGCGATTTTCTTTATTCTATCCGAAAGGAATTCAGTTATCTCTACAGTAGCTAAAAACATAAATACTGATTGAAATTTTTCAGGTGACAGTCAATTGTAAGTTTATATTTAATTTAATAGGTAATTAAATTTTGAGCATGAGTGAATAATAAAAATTGTAACAATAATACTAAATTATTACATAATATTATATTATATAAAAATAGTTAGATAAAGCCATATAAAAATATTGGTAAATTATCGGGAAACAATCAATATAATTAACCATTAGGTTTCTCTTTTCCGTATGTCCACAACCACAATTGAACCTTTTGGTGAAGTTCATTCCCAACAGTTACTATGTATTTGGCATTTGGACTAATTTTGGCTACGGTCATTTCTTGGTTACCGTGTGGGCTGAATAAAGTAGAAACTGGAACTCTGAAAAAAAGTAATGTTAACATTAATTACAGTATATATTTTGTTGTATTCTCAAACTGCAATTGGACTGACCAAATTTCTCGAAATTATAAAGCTGATTTGGCTTAACCGAAATTAATCGCAATAAATTGCGCGATTATAGCTGATTTAACTATTGTATTTATTGCTTATTACTTGTCGTTAGTGATGGAATTTGAAATAGATTTTGAATCGCTTTAAATCTACCAAGTTTTATACAGGAAAATATGCAGAAAAGGAGCTCAGCACTTGTAAAGTAGACAGCGTTCGTTAAATGGAATTAAAGCTAATAAACATGAATAGCTCTTTAACAAATATGGATCAATTTCAACAAAAAAGTGCTGCACCACTTATGTCAAAAAATTATCTACAAATTAAATATCTCGTAAACTAATAATCCATCGACTTAAGTGGTTTAGTACCTTTTTCTTAAAAATGACGAGCTAAATTGATTAGTATATTAAAAATTATATAATACTATTTAAAAAAAATAAAGATGATTTTCATATCTCCTTCACGCATTCATCTATGAGAAAAGTAATTATAGCATCTTATAGCCCCCTTGAAATCACTTAATTTTTGCTAAAAACACTTTTCTATACAGTGAGTAGTTAACGAGCACTGTTCATTTATAAATTAAAATTGGACACCCTGTATATATGTAATTAAAGAAATGTACTTTTTGAAAAAGGTTTACATTTGATCAAAGAATTTTTGAAAATAATCTGTTTTTTTTCATCATCTTTAAATTCAATCATCTTTAAATCTACATAAATTCATATATGTACAATTGTAAAATTTGATTAATTTCTATGTTTCTCAATGAAAAAATAGGAGTGTAATAAAATAACTTGCTTTATAAATCTGTGCTTTGTCAAAACAAGCAACGAAAATCTGAGTATAACCAAAGAACGATGATAATTTCAACGAGGAATATAAATTTCTTCGTTGTATCTAATCGATTTTCTCTTCATTTTATATATTTTCAAATTTCATTACCCAGTTTCAGTATCCCAAACAACAATCACACAATCGTCCTCGAAATCTGCAGACATTAACCATTTTCCGTCTTTCGATGCAGATAAATTTTTAACAGTATTTTGCTACAGAATAATTTGTGCGTCTATTAATATTAATTAGAAGCTAAAATGTAATATAATAAACAGAAATAAATACATACATGGCCTTGAAGATTTATAACTTCTTTGGTCTCGTAATTATAGATTATTACAATGTGCGAACAGGCATAAGCGATGATCGTTCGATTCTTCGTGGTTAAATTAATTAACGGTGTATCTGCATTTAGTCCGAAGGACCATAACAATTTCTGTGTATATTTAGAAAAACTAAATTACAACTTTTCATTTTTGATTGCAATTTAAGCAATAACATAGTATGTAACATGTAGTAATATTATTTTTTTGTAGTATATTAATATAATTTTTGGATATAATACACTGTTTATCGAACTATATATTTATTATGAATTTGTTAATTATTTAATTAAAATAGTTTATCAGTTAATTAGCTAGAAATTGACCAGAGGTATTACTTTACGATATTATTTTAAAGCGGAAACAACGTATGCAAAATATACGTATAGGCAATAATTTAGAAAGATGTTAATATCAATAATAAGAATATGTAATAAAAAATGTAAGTTTCCATTTAAAAACTAACACCCGACCTTTATAGGACTTTCCAAGGACAACATAAAGTCAACACAAGCTCAAATAGGTATTAGCATCTATATCGGTATTTGCACTCTAGAACTTTTGTCTGACATATTTTTCTATATTATCTACATATCTATTTTCTACATATTTTTGAGACATTTGCGTATTCGAAAATAAGTCACACTGTAAATACTGTATATTGTATGTATATGTTCGTTTACACACACGCTCGCGCACGCCAAATAAATAAATAAATATATGTACTATACTAATAATAACAATAACAATAACAATAACAATAATAATAATAACAATTATGTATATAGATATATAGCCATAGATACCAGTTTGATGATCTTTAAAAATAATTTAGGGACAATTAAATACATTACTTACGAAAGGACAAAAATTGAATTCATCTCTTTTTTTACAAGAATCCTTCTGCTTGGACTTTTCTCTCTTTTGGGAATCCATTGATTCCTTCGAAGACATCGATTCTAAAATATTCGATGTCATGTTAATTAATTTGTATTTTAAAAGATTTTTATTTATGACCTGAAATTAGCAAACAATTGCTTAACTTTCCTTTATATGAATATAGCGTGTATAGTAAATAGTGATCAAAACAGTTCTAGAAATAGCTATTAATAACTGTACAGTAAATGCAATAAATACCGTAGCGTAAAATTTATTCAAAACAGATTAGTATAGAGACATTGTAAAGTATAGAAACAGCTTTTGATGTTGTTTGCTATTGTAGACTTATTCTAAAACTTCATAATTTGAATAATTTACCACGTCAGTCAATGGAATAAAATGATTACGAGCAATCATGCCATCAACCATTTATGTAATATAGTCAGCAATCATCTGTCACAAATTGGTCGAATAGTCACGATTGTTTCCGATTTCACCAATTTTTGTATTATTTCTTCTTTTCAATTATTCTATTTTCCATTGTGCTTTTCTGTTATAATAGTCAAATTATAAAAGCCAAATATTAATTTCGTCACTTTTATTATAAATTCATCTTTGATTAAATTATTAGTAATAATGAATAATTTATAAATGTTTTCAAATTAGAACTAGATTTAAGCTCCTGAATATACATGATCTGTATCCTTGATACATGTAGCATTAAAATTTCAAAATTTATTGGAAACACAACTAAAATCGATACTTTCATTAATTTTAGCTCTGTCTAATAACATTCAAAGTCTTACTTGAATAATTATTTGTTATGTCTTATTAATTTGGGAGGTAAAATATCCTTAAATGGAACTGAGATGTTGCAAAAGAATAAAACTACAAAAAACATAATATAAAAATATTAATAAATTTTGAAAAATTTTGGTAAGCATATTTTTTATATTTCACTTATTGCCAGAAATATTTTATTAAAGAAGTGTAAGATAACTCACAGTAGTTCCCGGGTAATTACATTTTTCTTTGATTGTTTTGTGGTGTTAACTCAACAAATATTTTTTCGGTAAATAGGTGATTTGGTGATATATCAAATTTTAAGCGATTAGTCATCTACAAATGACAGTGTAAATGTCTATATTCTTAGCTGTTATCCAAACATGGTCACATTTAATTATCTACGTCATTAAAAAGAACAAAAATAAAAAACAATATTAATTTAAATTCATATTATAATTACATAAAATCTGAATAAAAATTGTTTTAACTTACTTTGTTTTATCAAACGTTATCGAAAACAAAAATTCAAATTATTATTAGTAAATGATTCGTTGAGTACTTGAAATTATCTTTGTATCAGTGGTAATTTGAATGCCATCCAATTCTTTATTTCACACTATTAACTTACATAGATAACACAAAACTTCTTATTTAATAACTTTTAATAGTAAAAACAGTTTCCTATATTAAGAAAAAATATTTAACCGCCATCGCAAGTTTTAGTTTCTGTTATAAATGTCAGATGGCATGACCGCATTTGTTTACATCAAGCATCAATAAGATTAACGATGTGTTACAATAAAATTCGAGTACGTCGTCAATTGTACATCATATTCTGATACAGAAACGTTTCTCAATTCAAACTCTTTCACATAAACTGAAAAACACTTTGTTCCCGTAATTTTATACATGAAAGTTCATATGACTAACCACTTTGTACCTAAACCAGACAAAATAATAAAGACCATTATGCTCACAAATAAACTTAAATAGAACACGTTTACATTAACCTCGTTTGCTACGTTTAGTCACTAATTGTTCTATGAAACAAAATATGTACGTGTTAAATGATTCCTTTTGTACTATGTTTCGTGACTATGTCGACACGAAAAGTATTATAGATACAATACGAATGTACTGCGCCCTATAAGTGCATTTCAGGTATTAACATTTCGCCACAGGAGAATTTTACTTATCGATCTACATTACCCGCCAATTTTCCCATCGAAAGTACAGTCGGTACAAAAGGTTTGTTTTGTTACAGTCATCTCGTTTGTGGTTTTATCTATTATTATTCTCACATGATAAATAAGGAAACGTTACGTATCCTTATCCATTGTACAGCTAACCGAGTTTATGCTGCCTTTTTATAAACTTTCATTCCGATTACAGGCAGAGGTCAAGCAACGTTATCGACTTTGTTATCAATCTGTTGAAGTCGCTGCTGTGTCAAGAAGTCATTAAATCGCTTTAGTTCCTTCAGAACCTTCCTAACAGAAGTTTCTAACGTACCAAAACATTGAAAATTGTTTCGGTGAAGTTTTCGAGAAGTTCTTTTGGTATTTGTTAATTATTTGGTGAAAATACTCCACTGATGGAGTTATTTTACATTATCTTCGGCATCCTTTTCGTTGTGGGAAAATATGAATCAGTACCTGTTAATTCGAACGTTAAAGGCTCTTCGTCATCTTTGACTGCGGTAGGTAAAAACAAATTTAATTTCCTTAAGAAAATTTCATATAATTACAAGACTTCTATTGAAATCGATAGATATGTCTTAATAATTCCTTGAGCAATTAGTTATTCTTACACTTATTAAAAAATTCCAATTAATAAAATTTCTAAAAATTTCTATAAAAACGAATTTCTTTTACCACAAAGTGATACTTTTTAATCATTTTTACAATTATACGTATCGTAACATGGATACACCACACATAACCTTGTACTATGATGTTCCGAGAAATGTAAATGTAACTATTATTTCATGCATTTGATTAATGTTATGATGATCAGTATCAGAGAGAGGGAATTCAGAATTAACTGTAAATCAAAATTTTGACAATCGTAAAACAAAAGTATTCGAACACTTGCGTCCAAAAATTGTTGATAAATGAAATACGTTACATTTGGAACTTTGAAGATAATATTACCCCTCAGTTAAAATACAAGCATTAAGAACTTGTGGATAAAATTATTAAAAAATCTGATAACAAATACGGATTGTGTGAATGTAGACATATTATGGAGTTCAGAAAATTATTCGAACGCACACGAGTAAGATAACATCGATATTGTAATTAATGCTAAAAATAATCCAACTAAGTATCAACATGAACTAATATGGAAGTAATTCACGCCTTCGAACACTTTTCTGAAGCTAGTGAAAGATATGTTCATTAAATGCATTGTTTCACATAAAATGTACTATTTTCGAAATCCGAGTGCAACATCTTTTTATTAGAGCTTATTTTCATCGGAGATTAATTGATTAATTGAAATGACATCTATTAATTTTATACAACAATAATAATGGCAAAATTTTTTAGAGCTTTCTTTAAATTTAAGGGCATATTCTTGTCTTTGTTAGCCGTTTTGGCATTTGTCAATATTTTTAATAATCATTTGATTATACGTAAAGAATTTAAGTAGATAAAAAGTTTAATAAATTTTAAGCAAAATTTAATTGATTAAATATCATGTTATCGTGTATTCAAAAGTTTCGTTTGTTTAATAGTAATAGTTGCAAACTTAACGTTATAGGTTAGTACCTATACAGCTATGTCAAGAATTTACCAATACATTTCAATAATTACAATGCATTACAAACGTTACTCCAAAATAATTTTATTCGTAAGGCCATATAGAAGATGAAGAAAAAGTACAAAAAGAAAAAGATTAAATAAAAGAATATGTTTTATTCAGAAAAATTTAATATCGAAATATAGAGAAACATTACGTCTTTTAAATTAGATCAAAAGAAATAAGTTTCTTCTACGCAAACATATACAAATTGTTTTTAATTAATTAATTTTTGAAAATAGTAAAATTCTTAAAAATTAGGAAATGAAACGTATCTATACAATCATTCTATAAATTAAAACGAAAGGAAAAGAGATTTAAGAAGGTTAATCAGAAATCATGAATTTCATTAAATACTAAATACAATATTGACATTGAATAATAGATATTATAGAAGCGTAATTTTCTAATAATTATACGAAATTTAGTTTTATTTTAATTCATGATCAGGTAGGAATATATTAAAATGAGTATTATATTAAATGCATATACAAGAATTAGAACATTAAATTTATCTGTTATAATTTTAATAAACGAAAATATACTTAGATCATTCACAAAATATCAAATTATTACGATTTATTTGCAAAAATTCATAATTTCAAATAATTTTAGATAGATTTCATGAAGAAGTATGGGTACTTGGAAAGCGGTACTGCCGATTCGGATGCATGGTACAAGGAAAGTGCCATAACAGATGCAGTGAAAACTTTACAGGAATTTGGTAATATTCCGGTCACTGGACAATTGGATAACGCAACGCTTGAGGTAGATTTCAGATGTGTCACTGGAAATTAATTGTACAGTAGAACCTTCGAAGTATTTGAATTAGTAGAAAAGTATGATCATTTGCATAAGGGAATTTTTGATACAAAAAAACTGTCAGTCCTTATAAATATAAATTATTAAAAAAATATAAACGTAAATTTAATATTTGTTTATTTAAATATTTGAATTAGTAGAAAAACATGATCATTTGCATAAGGGAATTTTTTATAAAAAACAGAATCTGTTAAAATAAATATAAATATAAATTTAAATTTAAATTTTAAATATTTTTTTAATTACATATGGATCACATATTTAACCATTTGCTACTAAATTGAAGAAATTTTATGATAGATATATCAAAAAATGTTACGAGACATTATTCTATTTGTTTTTTAAACCATTCAATCGTCCATTTTTCATTTCACAATTCTTTTACAACCTTTCGCCATTTTCTACAGCATCCAGAATTTTAAAAACTTTTCATTTTATTTCCATGCCATACTAAAGTAATTCTTCGTATTTAGGTAAGGATGAACTATATCGTTTGAATAATAAAACATTCGAATAACGGAGGTTTGACGATGTTAAGCGTTCTTATATATAAATAATTCTTATCTTATAAATCCTATGTAAAAATTAAATAACCGGGTCAACATAATATCACTGATAATTCAAACATTTTCCTCGTGAAGAATATTTTATATCGTATTAGCATTGAAAATCAAAAATTAAAACTTGGAAATCAAAAATTAAAGATTTAATACTTTTTATAATATTTCTGTAAATTGATATAAAAAATAAATATCCCAAATTATTAGAAATAATATCCCAAAATCGATTTACACGTGTATGCAAATGTAGTTATGAGAAACATTTGCAAAACTTTTCCTATAATATGCGTTTTTAATTTTCATTTCAAATTTCAATTTGCAATGGTACCTTTGTACTTTATATCTTTCCAATGGTACGACGCTATATTTATTTCCAATTTTTATATCTCTCTCCGATATATTATGTATTTCCAATTTTTGAAATATTTGTACAGCGTAAGCAAACTTTCATTTGAAAATAATAATATTACAGTTAATGGCATCTCCACGATGCGGTATTCCTGATATCGTAAGGAGAAAAGAGGACCCGCAACGTAAGAAACGTCATACGGTAAAAACTCAAAACCGGAAGAAAAGGGACATCACATATTTGTACGTACCTTAAAATATTTCACAGCGAAACACGATTAATTATTATTCATTTTCACATGTGATTATTATTGTTTGCAATAGTATAGCCAAGCCGACACCAAAACTAGGAGAAGAGACAGTTGTAACTGAAATCGAGAAGGCATTCGACATGTGGAATGGATATTCGAGACTTAATTTTAAACGAATTCATAATAAAAATGCTAATATTTTTATAGTCTTTAATACGGTGCCACACGATGACGAGTCAGAAGTTAAAAATGAAATAAATAAACCTTATTAAAATTCACTTATAATAATTGTGCCTCGAATCATTCTTCTTTTTTCATGAAATCATTTTTGTTATAACGCGTTAGAGAAGTTCCACTTGGCTAATTTTACTGCCACCCATTCGTTGAAGAACGTGTATATTATACGAATATTACACAACATGGGATGTAATATACATAAACATGTAGCATTTTATTTTTATATTATGATAATGAAGCGATTATTTTCTTCTTTTTATTAACGTTAAATAAATGATTGAAGGATCGTATGTTTCTACTGATAAATGATTATTACTACGTGTTCGTGTTGTATCCTCAGTCGGAAGCGAAGACTGTTTCCTACTATTTGCTATTGTACAAGTTCACTTGATCGCTCGGTATTCGCCTAATTGACGTTTGAACAACTCTGAAGAAGCTTTCGTGTGCAAGTCTAGGAAGTTCCTCGGGATACCGAAAAACCCCCTTATTAACCCTTTAGAACCCGTGGAACGAAGCGACGTGTCAAAGATGGTAATATTACGATAGTGCAATCTTTAGCATTCGGTCTTTTGACGCAAATCTTTCGAAGAAAAAAAGAAAAGGAAAAACTGACCGTCGCAATAGAGCTTGCAATTCTTTGCTAAGAGCGCTAAGAGGAACGGTAGCACTTGTCTTCATTTATTCGGTCTTTTGACGCAAATCTTTCGAAGAAAAAAAGAAAAGGAAAAACTGACCATCGCAATAAAGCTTGCAATTCTTTGCTAAGAGCGCTAAGAGGAACGGTAGCATTTGTCTTCATCTTTTACTCAATTTTTGTAGCCGGTGACTATAGTCATCCGTAATTAATTGTATCCCACGTTCACTGTGCCCTTGGCACGTTTTTCTGGAACGTAAGCATAGTTGAGGAAACTTGGCAATGTAGAAACATTTCCTAGAGGCCTATGATACATGACACGAGCATGGATGGAACACGAAAGCCCCCAAGGTTTACGATATCCGCATGAGCTGTTGTGGCCGAAACGAAATAAGTCCGGAAAAAGACAAAACGTGTCGTAATAATGCGTTTAATTTCGATAAAACGAAAGACGGCTTTCTCGAAAACAACTACAGTGAGTCACAAAATTATTGGCACACGCAGGAAGTGATAGGAATATAGAGTCACACAGTCTCTACTACGCTGGAGAGTACTATGGCTCTAAATTTCTGCAGACTAGAGACTGGATTTGACTTAATCTTAACTCTAACTCTTAAAGACTACTACTAATAACGAACAACTCTTACTAAACTCCAACTAAACGAACTAAACTCAACAACTAAGTATTAAATATATACACTACATGCATTGCTTATCTATATACGCTATAATTTTATCATCGACCATCCTCCAAACGTGCAAAGAATCTTACACTGCTACCAGAGCGCGTTCGGATCGTTCGGACCGTTGATTGGTCGGTTTGCAGTGACATCTGCTTTCGTGCTCGTTCTGACTCTCCGTCATTTTCGAACACTGCCGGTTTGAGACTGTATGTCGTCACTAGGTCGATCTTAGTTGGCGACGATTAGTGACGGACGGTTCTTTGAGAAAGGTTCTGTCTAGCTTCGAAGTGGAAAGTGGACTGTATTTTAGTAGAACTCTCGTCGTGACTGCTCTGTCGGTGGTTTTATAAACTTCGTCTGTCTACTGATTGGTTGCGAATAATATTGGGAGTGTGTGCTAGTTCCAGCGTCTTTCGGTGGTGGTGGTGGTGGTTGTTTAAATAATCTAGATCCTTATGACTGTCGTCTGAAGGGTGATATATTGTTGCTTGTTACGGTTTACCCAAGTGGCGGCTTAGGTAACAATGAGTGTATAGAAGTCAAGGGACGCTGACAATAAGGACATAAAACAGTCCTCCACTTGACCTGGGACATTGTGTTTGTAACGGTCCAAAGTCCCAATTAATCATACCTAAACATGACTAACTTCGTGACTTCAGTCTCATTGTGAGTCAACTGACGACAAGATTTTAATATATAGAACCCTCCTAAAACAAGAGTCTTCAGCCTTGTAACATTTAACGCCACAACGCCGATCCATTGTACGAACATTGTAACATCTGTTATAATAAAAAGTATAAAAAGGATTATAACAAAGCAAGATAGCTGTTGAGCTACGACCCAACTGCTATCGTTTTTTTTCGTTTAACAGTCATTTTACACTGGCACTTGTAAAATTTCGGAGCTTTCACATTTAGATACACAGTTTGTCCTAAACAAAAGGATTAACGGAATACCGGAAACGGTATTTTAAGGATTAACAGAGACTGTCGACTGAAATCACGACCTCTGTGTTTTTCACCCAGACGATATATGTTTTCTCCGAACGAGAGATAACAAGGAGTAGTCCCCATACGGGTTTTATAACGGGTTTCTGGCCCTGTCCACTCGCACGAATACCTGCGATGCAGTAGACAGGTCTTTAAAAGTGTACCAAATTTGGCAATCCATCACGCTCTCGCGACGGTTCAGCCTCGATGTTTTCGATTGGGAAAACCTACAGCCACCTCGTAAAACGGTCCACTGTTAGATAACTGTTTAGTCATCTATATTATCTGTAGGTGTTTATCTATTTACATATAAATCAATGTTGAAAAGGTAAGTTTAGTTGTAAACAAAAATCAATCTAGGATATAAGATATGAATAAATAGTTTATAAGATATAAATTCCTAGGACGAATGTTTCTATAAACATTCGATAAAAATTGGGGGCTTAGGCGAACCACGTCACGTAACCTCTTGACACTCTCTCAGGAGTCGGTCAGTCTCTCAAGAGAAGCACTAAAAGAAACATATACCTTCCTTGAATAATAAAGGACTTCAATACAGAATATACATACATATATATATATTGTGGTATCGCAGGATGAGCGTGTTATCAAGAGTGCGTGCGAAAGGATGAATGATCGTGCGCTAGGATCGTGTGGACGGGATGTTTATGAATGTATCGGATGAAAGTGAAGAGTGGCTTTAGGAATGCGTTTGAGTGTTTGGGCTAAGTGACCCGCTGAGGGTAAGATTGCAAGGAGTGCGTGGGAAAGTGTGATTGGAAAGAGAGAATAGGTATGAAAGAGGATAGAATATATGGTTTAAATAGGGATGCAAGGGCGTGAGTGGACTGAGAGAATAGGTATGAAAGAGGATAGAATATATGGTTTAAATAGGGATGCAAGGGCGTGAGTGGGCAGAGTGTGGAGTCGGTCGTAGTACGTGTAGTATATGAGAGTTCAGAGAGAGAGTTGTGAAAAAAGGTGTTAGTTGTATTGTGTTGCTAAGTGTAAACGTGTTGTTAGGTAATTGTGTCGTTGTAGTTATAAGAGTTTAGTTAATAGATAGATGATATTCGTAGTCTTTACCGTCACCGCGCGTTCTATGTTATATTTTATAATAAATAGTAGTTTTACATTATTCGTGTTCCACCCTATCTCTACAATATATACGTATATATCGTAGTTATTTAACTGTTAGAACCCATAATCCTAATAACTAACTTTCCCTTTTTATCCGTTACTCATCCTTATCGCCCTATTGCTTATCCCAACGCTTTCTTGCATCATTCTCCCTTAACCTTCGATCTATGGACAACCCCCACTTACTTTGTAATTCGGATATAAGTATTGTCAATCATCTCAAAGGGAGGCATTCTTGTGCTAGTAGTCAGTTTGGAGTAATATTGTTAAAGGGTCTATGGGAATTGTCCCCCACGGTTGTTGTTCGTCATGGATATCCTCTGTGTTGAAGTGGTGTTAGAAGGGATGAAAAGGAAAGGAAGGAATGCGTTTCGTCCTGGGTCTGTTAGTGGACTCATCGGTAAGGCTACCTAGCAGCTACCTACCAACTGATTCACGAAACAATAACAAAAATACATTTATTGAACATTTTATGGGCGGACAAAAGTATTGGCACACGATGCTAAATGTAATATATCTGCATTTGTTTGAAAAATTTTCGATCGTCATTTTAAAATCTAGTTAGGTGACACCCCGATTATCATTTTTAACAACAATCATCCTAAAGTTCAGTCGTCTAGCAACAGGGAAAGTAAGAAAACGTAATAATGTCAAGAAAGGCGAAAGAAACGACAAATGAAGAGAGAGAAATAATATTAAATTTGTATAAAATGCGAAAATCTTATAGCGAAATATCACAAATTGTTAACAAAAGTCGTTTCGCTATTAGAAGCATTGTAAAAGGATTTATAAATCAATCAGATTTTGATAATGCGAATCGAAGTGGTCGTCCTCTCACGTTATCTGTTAGAGAAAAACGTAAAATTATAAACCAAGTGAAGAAAGATCCTAAATTAAACTCCTCGGAACTCAGAATGATATTAAATAAAGAGTGTCAAAAAGAAGTAAGTTGTAAAACTGTGCGAAGGGTATTAAAAACTGCTGGATATTCTGCGTGTGTTGCGCGAAGAAAACCATACATATAGGGAAAAAATCGAAAGATGAGGGTTGATTTTACCAAAGAATTTATAACGAAGGATTCAACATTTTGAAGCAACATATTGTTTTCAGATGAAAGCAAATTTGACATTTAAATCCGATGGTAGAAAATTAGTTTGGAGAAAGCCAAATATTGAATTGGAAGTACGAAATTTACAATCGAGTGTAAAATATGGAGGTGGTGAAGTTATGGTGTGGAGTTCTATGGCAGCATCCAGGATTGGCGAATTAATTTTTAGAGATGATATTATGGACAAATACGCATATTTAAATATATTGAAACAAAATTTATTAAAAAATGCGGAAAAATTAAATTTCTGGCGGAATTTCTATTTCCAACAAGACCGCGATCCAAAGCACACCGCTTACATCGTACGCCATTGGATCATTTATAATACTCATTCCCTAAATACACCACCCCAGAGTCCAGACATGAATCCTATCGAACATGTCTGGAACGAATTGGAAAAAAGGATTCGAAAATATCGTATAACAAGCAAAGCAGACTCGAAGAATGTTCTTTTACAAGAATGGAATAAAATTGAGCCGGATTTTACAAAAAAGTTAGTTGATTCAATGTCCAAACGATTAAAGGAAGTCCTTAAAAGGAAAGGAGAACCAACTAACTATTAATATTTAATTCCAAATCATTTTTAAACGTTTTTATTCGAGTGT